GAATGGTGGTAAGTTATTAAATGCTGAAAAAGAGTTTTTATAGTATGAGGCTCAGGTTAGGGTGTGTAGAAGAGAGGGAGACTATTTTCCCGGTAAAAAGTAGGTCTTAGACAGGGATGTGTAATGTCACCAGGGGTTGTTTAATATATTTATAGATGGGGTTGTAAAGGAAGTAAATGCTAGGGTGTTTGGGAGAGGGGTGGGATTAAATTATGGGGAATCAAATTCAAAATGGGAATTGACACAGTTACTTTTTGCTGATGATACTGTGCTTATGGGAGATTCTAAAGAAAAATTGCAAAGGTTAGTGGATGAGTTTGGGAATGTTGTGTAAAGGTAGAAAGTTGAAAGTGAACATAGAAAAGAGTAAGGTGATGAGGGTGTCAAATGATTTAGATAAAGAAAAATTGGATATCAAATTGGGAGGAGGAGTATGGAAGAAGTGAATGTTTTCAGATACTTGGGAGTTGACGTGTCGGCGGATGGATTTATGAAGGATGAGTTAATCATAGAATTGATGAGGGAAAAAAGGTGAGTGGTGCGTTGAGGTATATGTGGAGTCAAAAAACGTTATCTATGGAGGCAAAGAAGGGAATGTATGAAAGTATAGTAGTACCAACACTCTTATATGGGTGTGAAGCTTGGGTGGTAAATGCAGCAGCAAGGAGACGGTTGGAGGCAGCGGAGATGTCCTGTCTAAGGGCAATGTGTGGTGTAAATATTATGCAAAAAATTCGGAGTGTGGAAATTAGGAGAAGGTGTGGAGTTAATAAAAGTATTAGTCGAGGGCAGAAGAGGGTTGTTGAGGTGGTTTGGTCATTTAGAGAGAATGGATCACAGTAGAATGACATGGAAAGCATATAAATCTATAGGGGAAGGAAGGCGGGGTAGGGGTCGTCCTCGAAAGGGTTGGAGAGAGGGGGTAAGAGGTTTTGTGGGTAAGGGGCTTGGATTTCCAGCAGCGTGCGTGAGCGTGTTAGATAGGAGTGAATGGAGACGAATGGTACTTGGGACCTGACGATCTGTTGGAGTGTGAGCAGGGTAATATTTAGTGAAGGGATTCAGGGAAACCGGTTATTTTCATATAGTCGGACTTGAGTCCTGAAATGGGAAGTACAATGCCTGCACTTTAAAGGAGGGGTTTGGGATATTGGCAGTTTGGAGGGATATGTTGTGTATCTTTATATGTGTATGCTTCTAGACTGTTGTATTCTGAGCACCTCTGCAAAAACAGTGATAATGTGCGAGTGTGGTGAAAGTGTTGAATGATGATGAAAGTATTTTCTTTTTGGGGATTTTTTTCTTTTTTGGGTCACCCTGCCTCGGTGGGAGACGGCCGACTTGTTGAAAAAAAAAAAAAAAAAAAAAAAAAATCATTTGTTCTCTAGGCTTCCTTAACTTGTTAATCTCACTCCAAAACTTTTTCTTATTTTCAACAAAATTTATTGATAACATCTCACCACTCTCTCATTGCCTCTTTTTACATTGCTTCACCACTCTCTTAACCTCTCTCTTTTTCTCCATATACTCTTCCCTCCTTGCATCACTTCTACTTTGTAAAAACTTCTCATATGCTAACTTTTTCTCCCTTACTACTCTCTTTCATCATCATTCCACCAATCGCTCCTCTTCCCTCCCGCACCACTTTCCTGTAACCACAAACTTCTGCTGAACACTCTAACACTACATTTTTAAACCTACCCCATACCTCTTCGACCCCATTGCTATGCTCTCATTAGCCCATCTATCCCCCAATAGCTGTTTATATCTTTCCTTAACTGCCTCCTCTTTTAGTTTATAAACCTTCACCTCTCTCTTCCCTGATGCTTCTATTTTTCCTTGTATCCCATCTACCTTTACTCTCAGTGTAGCTACAACAGAAAGTGATCTGATATATCTGTGGCCCCTCTATAAACATGTACATCCTGAAGTCTACTCAACAGTCTTTTATCTACCAATACATAATCCAACAAACTACTGTCATTTCGCCTACATCATATCTTGTATACTTATTCATCCTCTTTTCTTAAAATATGTACTACCTATAACTAAACCCCTTTCTATACAAGTTCAATCAAAGAGCTCCCATTATCATTTACACCTGGCACCCCAAACTTACCTACCACACCCTCTCTAAAAGTTTCTCCTACTTTAGCATTCAGGTCCCCTACCACAATTACTCTCTCACTTGATTCAAAGGCTCCTATACATTCACTTAACATCTCCCAAAATCTCTCTCTCTCCTCTGCATTCCTCTCTTCTCCAGGTGCATACACGCTTATTATGACCCACTTCTCGCATCCAACCTTTACTTTAATCCACATAATTCTTGCATTTACACATTCATATTCTCTTTTCTCCTTCCATAACTGATCATTCAACATTACTGCTACCCCTTCCTTTGCTCTAACTCTCTCAGATACTCCAGATTTAATCCCATTTATTTCCCCCCACCGAAACTCCCCTACCCCCTTCAGCTTTGTTTCGCTTAGGGCCAGGACATCCAACTTCTTTTCATTCATAACATCAGCAATCATCTGTTTCTTGTCATCTGCACTACATCCACGCACATTCAAGCATCCCAGTTTTATAAAGTTTTTCTTCTTCTCTTTTTTAGTAAATGTCTACAGGAGAAGGGGTTACTAGCCCATTGCTCCCGGCATTTTAGTCGCCTCATACGACACACATGGCTTACGGAGGAAAGATTCTTTTCCACTTCCCCATGGATAATAGAAGAAATAAAGAAGAACAAGAGCTATGTAGAAAAAGGAGAAAAACCTAGATGTATGTATATATATATGCATGTGCATGTCTGTAAAGTGTGACCAAAGTGTAAGTTGGAGGAGCAAGATATCCCTGTTATCTAGCGTGTTTATGAGACAGAAAAAGACACCAGCAATCCTACTATCATGCAAAACAGTTACAGGTTTCTGTTTCACAGTCATCTGGCAGGACGGTAGTACTTCCCTGGGTGGTTGCTGTCTACCAACCTATATGTGGATATAAAAATAAATAAAGCCTCTCCTCACTTAATGATGGAGTTCTGTTGCTAAGCCCATGTCATTAAACAAATTCGTCGCTAAGTGAAGAGCATACTGTAATGGTAGTGGGTTTGTGTCAACCATCTTTGATATTGTTTTCATGTCACCTTTCCACCATTTATAACAATTCTGGTATATTTTTAAATGTTTATACAGTAGTATACTGTATATTGAAATAAATAGAATAGAGGAAATGAGCTCTAATATACATTATTTAGGTATAAATACTGGTCAGAGAGCCCATCATAAGTCCGAGGCGTCGGTAAACGAGTACGTCGCTAATTGAAGAGAGGCTGTAATGAAAAGTGGATAAATAACCACATCTTTATTAGTGTGATATTTCTTTTGCATGAAGCTTTATCAAGTTCTTTATGCATGATACTGATAAACCTCTCTTTTGCTGTATGTATTAGGTGGTTAATAAAGCTTTGTGTATGTGACACATGGTACTGATAAAGTAATGGATTCAAATTAGACAAGTTTAGATTTAGAAAGGACATAGGAAAGTACTGGTTTGGAAATAGGGTAGTTGATGAGTGGAACAGTCTACCTAGTTGGGTTATTGAGGCTAGGACTTTGGGTAGTTTCAAATTTAGGTTGGATAAATATATGAGTGAGAGGGGTTGGATTTGAGTGGGACTTGCAAATGAGTGGATAGAGTTATCAGACCTTATTATTTCTTGGGTGGCATTGAAAATTGGGTTGGGCAAATGTTTTGTTAGTGAGATGGATTGTGAAGGACCTGCCTAGTATGGGCCAACAGGCCTGCTGCAGTGATCCTCCTTTCTTATGTTCTTTTGCTGTATGTATCAGGTGGTTGATAAAGCTTTATGTATGTGAAACAGGGTACTGATAAAGCTCACTTTTTCCATATGAATCTTTTTTCCATGGCAAAACATTGTTTGATTATTTCACACACTTTTTCGTATGTCTTTTCGTCAAATTTCCAACTTAATGCCATGGTATTATGACTTATGTTTGTGTTTGATCACATTAAGTTACCCTCAAGATTTATTTCAGGGTAACATACCATGGTTGAAGCTCCCTAATTCCCATACCCTAAACAAGCTACCAATCGATGAAACAGTATCAAAATTGAGACCTGCGACTGAAGAGGACAAAAGATATTCAAAGCAGCTCCTCTACAAGACTCCAGGTCGGTTACGCTACAACTGTCCTCGCGCTGTATGTCCCCCTACAGGTTTAGTGCTTCCCTGTTAATGCTGTCAGCCTTCGTTATAATGGACTTAAAAGGGAATTCTCATAGTGTCCCTATTTTTATTATGTTTGTGGGGGAGTGCTAAACCCACGGGTCATACAGCGTCTGGGAGGATGAAAGGCTTTCAGACTTGATTCAAGGCATTAGAGCACAGGTTCAGCTTCCTTGGATCAAAAGCCCCTCACCAGCATCAAGGAACCTTCCTTGAGGGTATAATAATGTTAAAAAATTTCAGAAAAACCATTAAAATACTCTACTGTATACCTACATAATACTGTACACTATTCACTGGTATATTGTAATAAACACAGAAGGTACTGTACACACAGTTTACAGGTATACCACAATACAGATACAAATATGTATTCCTTTGCATAGTATACAGCAGGTGTGAGCAAACTTTTCAGTACAGGCGCCACATTCAGAAATTCACAATTTTCAGGGGCTGCATAGTATATTAAGTAAGATAATATTTAAAATAGACAAAATAAAAGTTTTTTAAAGGAAAAAACAATTAATTTTTTAAAGAAAACTTGGCGGGCCTCATGAAAACCTTGGGCGGGCCGCATGTGGCCCACGGGCTGTAGTTTGCCCACCACAGGTATACAGTGTGCGATTTACATGTTACAAAATATTGTTAAGTACAAAGAAAGACACCAACATAATTTGAGTATTTCAGGTAGACTAATACTAATGCTTACACTACTTAAAACTAGACAGATATCAAGAGAATAGTAAGTAGAGAAAAAGTTAGCATATGAAAGGTTTTTACAAAGTAGAAGTGTGATTACAAGGAGGGAGGCATATATGGAGAGAAAAAGAGAAGCATGTAGAGAGGATGGAGTGAAATAGAATGAATTGGAGTGGAGAGAAGGCAGGTAGAGGTCGACCTAGGAAAGGTTGGAAGGAGAGGATAAAGGAGGTTTTGTATGCAAGGGGCTTGGACTTCTAGCAAGCATGTGTGAGCGTGTTAGATAGGAGCAATGGAAACAAATGGTTTTTAGGACTTGACGTGCTGCTGGAGTGCGAGCAAGGTAACATTTATGAAGGGATTCAGAGAAACCAGGAGACCAGACTTGAGTCCTGGAGATGGGAAGTACAGTGCCAGCACTCTAAAGGAGGAGTGTTACTGTTGCAGTTTTATAACTGTAGTGTGAGCGTGCCTCTGGCAAAACAATGATGGAGTGAATGATGATGAAAGTTTTTATTTTTTTTTTGGGGGGGGGGAAACCACCCTACCTTGGTGGGAATTGGCTGATGTGTTAATAAAAAAATTAAAAAAATATTTTTTTAAATTACAGTAAGACCCCGTATCTGTGGGGGATACATTCCAAGGTCCTGCCGTGGATGCCGAAACCGTGGATAGTAGCAAACCCTATGTATAAGTTCTATACATACCTATTATAAAGTTTAATTGGTAAATTATGCACAGTAAGTGAGAATTATCACTTTTTTCACTGTTTGGGAAGCATTTCACAGTTTCTCTTAGGCTTTGAAGAACTGCCAGCTTCTCTACTTTTGTACTTTGAGGCCATTGTTAAGCAAAATTAAGGTTTATTTTCAGGCCAGGGGTAAATTATGGATAACTGAAACTGTGGACCCAGACCTGCAATGCGGGGGTCCTACTGTACAGGTATTCCTCCTTAACATCTATCTGTTTAACAACTGCTTGGACTTACAACCATCTGTCTAACCAGTAAAAACCTAAGTAATGTATTAGATTTGATTTCCTCTATTCTGTTTTTTTACAGTATACTGTACACTACTGTATAAACATTTAAAATATACTATAAATTTTGTAAATAGTGCATGGGTTTAACATTAAACAATATCTAAAGATGATTGACACAAACCCTTTTACTAGTACAGTATGTTTGTCGCTTATCAACCAATGCAGTTAACAACCTAGTTGTAGGAACACAACCGGTTGTTAAGTGAGGAGTGCCTGTATTACAAAGAGAGGGGCATTGTACACACAACTTAGTTCTTGTTGAACCTAACAAGAATATCTTTACAGTAAGTGAGGATGAGAATGCTCTCTACCTGGCCAAGGAACACTGCGCAGATATCGTCATCTCTTCCAGTGCCTTGGGAAAAATTTGGGGGATTTAAATATGGTCAAATTTGATAAAGAGTGAATATTCCTGTAGAGTTGGGTCTCATTTGTTAAAGGTAATTATATTTTTTGGAAAGTTGCGTTGCTTGTGGGAAAAAATGAAATTTTAATAAAAGAAATATAAGTAGATTTTTTTTTTCTTTACACTTCATTTTTTCAGGCACAAGTATAGTATTATTATACTTCTGTGTGGGGTGTGTTTACCGGAGAGAGTTCCGGGGGGCAATGCCCCCGCAAACCCGTCTGTGACCAGGCATCCTAGTAAATCAGAGCCTGATCAACCAGGCTGTTAGTGCTGGCTGCTCGCAATCCCCAAAGTACAAGCCACAGCCCTGCTGTCAGGTACCGACTTTTGGTGCTTGTCCAATGCCTGCTTGAAGACAGCCAGGGTCTATTGGTAATCCCCCTTGTGTATGCTGGAGGCAGTTGAACAGTCTCGGGGGGCCCGACACTTTTTGTATTGTCTTCTAACGTGCTAGTGACACCCCTGCTTTTCATTGGGGGATGTTGCATCGTCTGCCGAGTCTTTTGCTTTCGTTGTGAGTGATTTTCATGGCAAGTTCGGTACTAGTCCCTCTAGGATTTTCCCGGTGTATATAATCATGTATCTCTCCTGCCTGTGTTCCAAAGGGGGTGCAGGTGTGTTTTTTTTTTTTTTTTGATTGATTTTTATTGTTTTCCCAAGCGTGATTTAATTTGTTTTCTAAATTTTAATTTATTTTTTTCAACAGATGTGGATGGAATTGAAAGGAGTCAGAGAAAGTGTTCATTGACAAGCCTATGGTGAAAACCATCTGGAAATCCTCAGAGAAGAAGCAGATGTTTTACAAAGAATCTGCTCTGGCCTCAACTGGGCAAAAATAATTAACTACTCTTTTTTTAAGTAAGTTATATACTGTTTGGAGGGGGATGTTATATATCTTTATACAGTGATACCCTGAGTTTCGGTCATCATTCATTCCAGAAGGTGTTTCCAGTGCTGTTACCAAACGAATTTGTTCCCATAAGGAATAATGGAAATTACATTAGTTCATTTCAGACACCCAAAATTACACTTACAAAAGCACTTACAATAATACACTTACATAATTGTTCAAGTTGGGAGCTGTACGAAACTCAGAGCACCGCTGTATATGCTTCTAAACTGTTGTGTCTGGGCGCCTCAGCAAAGACAGTGATAAAATGTGAGTGAGCTGAAAGTATTGAATGATGATGAATGTATCCTCTTTTGTGGGGATTTTCTTTCTTTTTGGGTCACCCTGCCTCAGTGGAAGATGGCCGAATTGTTAAAAAAAAAAAAGGTATACAGTGGACCCCAGCTTAACGATCACCTCCCAATGCGACCAATTATGTAAGTGTATTTATGTAAGTGCATTTGTAAAGTGTATGTTTGGGGGTCTGAAATGGACTAATCAAATTCACAATATTCCTTATGGTAACAAATTCAGTCAGTACTGGCACAGAACATACTTCTGGAATGAAAAAATATCGTTAAACGGGGGTCCCACTGTACTGTTTTTTTTACAAAACCATATAAAATATTAACCCTTTTTGGGGGCAGTCCCGTTGACGCCAGTAACGGTCCATAGTTTTTACCCATGAGTCAGCTCGCCCAGATAAGTTGTGAGGAGTAAAAAAACTGTGACCATGTTTTTGGGTTTAAAAACTGCAATTTTGCAGGGGATTTTTCGTATGGTTTTAATGGTTGTATTCTCGATTACTTTTCCTCATTTTATAGAATGGAAGATATAATACAGAAATAGAGATGATTTTGATTGGTTTCAAAATTGAAAGTAGCATGAAATTGAGCTCAAAGTAGCAGAAAAGTTCAGTTTTTACCAATATTCCAGAGAACACAAATGACATCACTCTTCCAATATACGTCCAACTGGCCCGTCTATTATGCATTTAGGATTGCACCCACATTATTTAAAACAATTATTTCAATAATACAGTAGTCTGCGTAACAGTAAATCTATTAGATTTTGTGTAAATAAAAATTCTAAATGGAAAGCAATGTAATATAAAATTGGCTTGGGAGGAAAATGATGAACAGAGGAAATGTTTTTTTTTATTACCAGGAATGTCTACATTGTTCAGTCTGGACCCTATTTTAAATTGGTAAATTTTTAATTTTGTGTGAAATTAGCCAAATTACCAATTTCTGATCACTTTAAATTGGGTAGTTGAAATAGGTAAATGGGCAGTTTTTGTACTCAGTCAATAGAATAGAAGGAATACTAGTGAAATAGCTATGAGTTGGTCGGACTGGAACAATGGAATTAGCCCAAAATAGGGGTCAAATTGGGGGAAATCACTAATTTCGTAAATATCGCCAAGACCGCTAACTTTGCAAGAGCATAATTCTGTAAGTTTTCCATCAAGTTTCATACTTTTGGTTCCATTATCTTTGGTAAAAGATTCTCTATCATTTCATGAGATAAAATAATTTTTTTTAAATTCTTCGACACTGAGAGTAAGTTTGAGGTCAGGGGTCTTGACCTTGAAAGAGTTAAAGACTAGTCCCCTAGCCCCCCCTCTTCCAACCAGATTGATGCATCCTAAGCTCTTGTATATAAAATTTGCTTGACTACCCCTGATAGTGTCTGCACAGATACATTGAGGGAGAACCTACACTGTACATTATAATTCAGGTGCTCCTTGATTTCCGATGAGTTACATTCCAATGAACCCATCATAAGTTGAAAATATCATGAGTCAGATATGAACATGATATGCTAAATTAATAAATAAATAAATAACTACTGTCACTGTATAAGTAATAGACAAATAATTACTGTCTAATCAAATATAGTGGTACCCCGAGTTTCGAACTTATTTCATTCCAGAATGCTGTTCGAGTGCCAATACCGAATGAATTTGTTCCCATAAGGAATAATGTCAGCTAGATTAGACCGTTTCAGACCCCCAAAAATACACTTACAAACACATTTACACAAATACACTTACATAATTGGTCGAGTTGGGAGCAGTTCGAAACTCGGGGTGCCATTGTACCAGTATTGAAAAGTAAATAAATGAATAGAAGTTACAGACTTACCACCTTCATGTTTGGTAATTGTCTTGAGTTTCATCTCCGAAGTAATTGCTTTTTCACCATTGTAATGTCAAAATATAAGTCGAACCATTGTAAGTCAAGGATCACCAATGTATTAATTTCTGGTTCATTTGCCAACAGTATGGCTCCTCCATTTGCCATCCCAGAAGACAAAGACAGTGGTGAGGACAAGGGACAAACAGGCTATGACGACGATATCTTTGATCTTGCATCTACTGCTGAACATGACACCTTCGGAGTTGATCCTGCTGTCCACTCTGTATCTGAAAATTCGGGCATTAGAGACAAGAGAAAAATAAATAAACAAGGGAACTCAAAGTGTGATAAAAAAGGAGATATTAACTCCCTTAAAGAAACTGATAATTCTCTATTAAGTGACAAAAGTACAGAAGACAAAAGTGAAGAAACTGAGGATGGAAAAAGTTCCTGCAGTGAGACCAATACTGGCACTGGTAAAACTAAAACTCGTAAGTCAAAAAAGAAAAGAAAAAAGAAAACTGAGCTAGAGGTGAGTCTGTTACCAGAGACTACACTTTCTAGTCCTCTGAAAGACTGTACTGGTGCCAGTCCCACCAAAGTCAGTGAAAGCATTAATTACCCACCAAATATTCTGCCTACCAGTTCCAGTATTCCACAAGACATAACAGCTTCAGTGTCTGACAGTGGCAGCAGTGTACTGGATAATCTGCTCAGCATGCAAGATTCTTTTCTGAAGCCAACTCAGAAGATAACATCTCCCATTAAATCCAAGGATGAAGCCTCTGAGACAACCCCTAATCTGAAGCCTTGGTCGAATTCGCTAAATACGGACTGGAAGGCGCACTCAAAGGTTAGTAATACAGTTTTAGTGATGCACCAACAGCCTGGTTGTTCAGTTGACAATAAAACTGGTCATGGGTGTAAGTTTATTCAGGTACACATCAATACATTTGCATAAATTATCATTCATAGCAGCACATGCAGAAGAACCACTGTGAAAAAAATAGTGAAATTCCAAGCACTTCAATGATTTCTCAAGAAAGCACTTGGAATTTCGCTGTTGTTTCACAGTGGTTGTTCTGCATATTGTGTTATCACTTGTTTACTGTGATCTTTTTGCATAGCAATGTATGTGTGGATTACCTAGGATAACCCAACAAAGTGACTTATTTCCATTGGGATCCTTGTAATATCACTGTTTAAACCTTAAGACTGCTAAGCAGCTCAACTGTGTGAAAAGCAGTAACAGTCAAAAGAGATATACTGGGAATAAGGTAAATTGAGTTACAGTGGGCCCCCGCATAACGATCAGCTCCCAACTCGACCAATTATGTAAGTGTATTTTTGTAAGTGCTTTTGTAGGTGTATTTTTGGGGGTCTGAAACGGACTAATCTAATTCACAATATCTCTTATGGGAACAAATTCGGTCTATAACGGCACCCAAACAGACTTCTGGATTGAAATAATATCGTTATGCGGGGGTCCACTGTATTTATATTAACATTAAAAAAAAGGTGGGTGGGGATGTTACAGTTCAGAGGTTCATGTGAACTGTGATGTCAGTGTTCTGGCAAAATAGTGATTGAATGAATGATGGTGAATGTGTTTCCTTATTTTGAGGTCACCCTACTTCAGTGGAAGATGGCCATTGTGTTTAATAAGGAAAAAAAAATGTATCCCTTTACCTTTGATATACCTGTAATGAGTTCTGAGAGTTTTTCTACTCCTATAGCCTGGCCTTGTCTGGTGCTTTCCTGGTCAGTCAGGCTGTTGTTGCTGGTGGAGCAATAGAGTGAGTGATGGTAAAAGTGTTTCTTCTTTTTCAGCTCATGCTACCTCAGTGGGATATAGCTGGTGTGTTAAAAAATCTATATACGTATAAATGGGACTAGAGATATTAAAAACAGGTAGGAATATAAATTTTTGAAGTGGCTGGATTTTTTGTATATGCCGGTACCTAAGAATTGGCAGATTGTGCATAGCTCCTTTGTATAAAAGAAAAGAGAACAAGAGATAGTTTGTAGTTATAGGGGAAAAAAGTCTGTTTGAGTATACATAGTAAAGTGTACTGCTGCAGTATCATGTACTATATATAAATTCATTTTTTCAGGGCCAGAATTGTCCATATTTATCAGGAATTAATGTGCATTACCAGCTGTTTTCATTTGGCATCAACAGCTCTGAGCCCTGCGAATCTTCACAGCCTCTCAGAATATTAATTCGTCATAGTGTTCATGGACTCTCCAGATTTAAAAATGAAAAGGTGATATGCATAGTTTACTTGAAAATGTTTATTTAGTTTGTTGAAAGAATAATAATAATAATAGTAACACTGCTTCAAGATAAGTCCCATAGCCCTGTCTTCCAACCAGATTTGCTACACTTATGATAAGAATTGTTGGGATTTTTAACCCAGAGGATTAACCATCCAGGATAGCCCGATAAAGTTAGTGTGCCATCAAAAACTGTCTGTCTTCTTTCTACTGTGGTCTTTCCTTGTCCCACAGGATGCAACCCACACCACTCAACTAATACCCAGGTACCTACTTACTGCTAGGTGAATAGGGACAGCAAGTGTAAAGAAATATGCCCAGTGTTTCTATCCCAGGAATTGAATCACAGACACTCAGTGTGCAATGCAAGAGCGTTGCATACTGAGCCACAGGCCACATATGTATATATGTAACTCCTGTATGTAACTTCTATGGCACCACTAATAATCTTCTATCTTCTTACCAGCTACTATCCAAAGCATACACGATATATCCCAAACTTGAAAACCAAGCATATTTTGGGTGCGAAGTTAACACATTGTCTGAAATCACGCAGCAATGGATTCAACTTTTAACCCGACCCAACACTACTCTCCTTCAAGGTATGTTAGTAATAATGGTAGCATTGCTGGTAAAATGTTAGGTGAATGGACACACATGCAACTAATGTGATGTTTTATTGTGACAACATTTCGCTCTGTTACTAAATTTAAAAAGAAAAACTTTTGTTTTTCTTTTTGTGTCACTGTTCCTTTTTGGGATAAGATAAGATAGGGGATACAGCCGGTTCATTGAAAAAAAAATTTTAGTCTCCAGGAGCTGTATCAAGCAGTTACAACCAATACAAGGACACAGAGAGTATATATAGATACCACATGAGGTGGAATAAACTGTGACTTTATAATAAAAGCTCCATGGGGAACTGGAACAGAATTCTTCCTCCGTAAGCCATGCGTGTCATAAGAGTCAACTAAAATGCCGGGAGCAAGGAGCTAATAATCCCTTCTCCTGTATACATTACTAAAGTTAAAAAGAGAAACTTTTGTTTTTCTTTTTGAGCCACCCCGCCTCGGTGGGATATGACCAGTTTGTTGAAAGAAGAAGATAATAAAATGTCACATTAGTTGCATCTGTGTACTTTTATTTATGGTACGTTACTTGTAAATTACCTGTGTGTGGTCAGCAGACATAATATTGTCCATTTGCAATATATTCTTATTCCTCACAACCATTAAAATATTGAATGTGTCCACATTATGTTAATGTGCTAGAATCCTCATTACCTATAATCATAATTAAACTTGTAATTCTTAAAACAAACCATATAGCATGCACTAATAGGATATTCAGTTCTCTTGTATTCATTGTAACTCCTAAATTTATTTTTACAACCACCTAAAACATTGTATATATAAGCAGTCAGTTCGTCATTGCCTTATTAGTCTTATGAAAGTCTTAAATTTGCCTGAAATATTTTGCATATTAAGGAGCTTTCTGCATGTACACCTAAATGTCACCCATCACTGTACAAACATTGTATCATGCTGAAAAAAATTATCTTAATCTTAATCTTCAGTGGGATCTTCTTACAATGGACCATGTCCATTACATCAGGCATTTCAAAACAATAAATTTTTATATAAACCAACACCTCCTCCCCCTATTTACTCTGTTATTTCACCGCCCAGATTTGATATATGTATACGAATTTTCAATAACTGATCTGATATACTCTATATTTTTGTAACTGATCTGATATACTCTTATGTTTTCAGTGACTGAATCTGATATATGATTTCAGTACGTGTGTGTGAGAGCTCCGGTGAAATTATGATGGCAGAAGAAAAGGATTTACCTATGGTTCTGAAGGAAGGACAACAACCACACATTGGCTTTCAACCTCACCAGCCTCTTGCAACGTTGCATTCTGTGTTTTCTGCAGTTTGCAGGATAGTTACTGGTCACTATATCCTTCATCATGACCCTAAAACAGAGGCATTTATCACGCTTCTTAAAGCAACGGATTCAGATAAGTAAGTTCAGTTATTGGAGATGGTGTTTTGCCTGTCAGGAAACATGCAATAATAATAATAATCTTTATTTATGCAAGGACATGATACAACTTCTAGGTAGTAGGTTGGTAGACAGCAACCGGCCAGGGAGGTACTACCGTCCTGCCAGGTGAGTGTAAAACGGAAGCCTGTAATTGTTTTACACAATGGTAGGATTGCTGGTGTCTTTTTTTTCTGTTGAATGATGATGAAAGTATTTTCTTTTTGGGGATTTTCTTTCTTTTTTGTTTCACCCTACCTCGGTGGGAGACGGCCGACTTGTAAAAAAAAAAAAAAAAAAAAGCAAGCATTCAGGTACATCTTGTTACTTCTACTTACACTTAGGTCACACTACACATACATTTTCTTTCTTGTTCTTGTTTATTTCCTCTTACCTCCATGGGGAAGTGGAACAGAATTCTTCCTCCGTAAGCCATGCGTGTTGTATGAGGCGGCTAAAATGCCAGGAGCAAGGGGCTAGTAACTCCTTCTCCTGTATGTATTACTAAATGTAAAAGGAGAAACTTTTGTTTTTCCTTTTGGGCCACTCTGCCTTGGTGGGATACGGCCAGTTTGTTGAAAGAGAAAGAATGATACAACTTATATAGACCATAGCTGACATCAATCACACACTATATAAAAAGCCTCTGGTTATGCAGAGCATTTCCTGCAACTTAGGTTAATTTTGTCACCAGGATGCCACCCACACCAGTACTACTACTACCCTCTACTCCCTCACAGCTTGCCACATGATCAGAGATTTTTAATAAAAAAACTGAAACTACCCTTCCCTTCCTCAATTCAACAATATTTTAATTTTATTCCCATTATTCAGAATTTCTTTTACTTAAATTTTAATTTAAAAATTTATTTAACAAATATCTCCATGGGGAAGTGGACAAGAATTCTTCCTCCAATAGTCAAGTGTGTCACAAGAGGTGACTAAAATGCCAAGAGCAAGGTGCCAGTAACCCCTTCTCCTGTACAGTGTAGAAACCTTTGATATACATGTATCTTTGATGAGTTTCAAGAGTCTCTCTACTCTTGAAGCCCAGCCATGGGCCAGGCTCATTTCTCCTTTTTTAGGTCACCCTGCCTCGGTGGGAGATGGCCAGTGTGCTAAAACAAAAATTTAACAAATTATCACATATTCAATTTTCTTGCAGGGAGTTGCACCTGCAGAAATTCAATCTGCATGCAGTGTACTCAACAGGATCTGTCAACACCAAGAACTACACTGTGCCTCCCTGGCTGGCCCTCGACACCCATGTCCTCACACCATTCCATCTCAAGCACTGCAAGATCCCGGCCACCTTTCCCATGGATAACCGTAAGCACTCAGACTTTTCCTTCAGTGTTCATATACATTTTCTCTATGTATAAGTTGTTAGACAAATATTGTAAAGCTAATTATCTCATTGACACTGTAACAAGTGCCAGTCTAGTGCCTAATGAAGCTGAGTTGTACAAGCTATCTCATGTATGTTAACAATGTATAATAACAACAATAATAATAATATATTATAGGTAGTAGATTGGTAGACATCAACCGCCCAGGGAGGTACTACCATCCTGTCAAGTGAGTGTAAAACGAAAGCCTGTAATTGTTTTACATGATGGTAGGATTGCTGGTGTCCATTTTATGTCTCATAAACATGCAAGGTTTCAGGTACGTCTTGTTACTTCTACTTACACTTAGGTCACACTACACATACATGTTTTTTTTTTTTTTTTTTTTTTTTTTTTTCAACAAGTCGGCCGTCTCCCACCGAGGCAGGGTGACCCAAAAAAGAAAGAAAATCCCCAAAAAGAAAATACTTTCATCATCATTCAACACTTTCACCACACTCACACATTATCACTGCTTTTGCAGAGGTGCTCAGAATACAACAGTTTAGAAGCATATACGTATAAAGATACACAACATATCCCTCCAAACTGCCAATATCCCAAACCCCTCCTTTAAAGTGCAGGCATTGTACTTCCCATTTCCAGGACTCAAGTCCAACTATATGAAAATAACCGGTTTCCCTGAATCCCTTCACTAAATATTACCCTGCTCACACTCCAACAGATCATCAGGTCCCAAGTATCATTCGTCTCCATTCACTCCTATCTAACACGCTCATGCACGCTTACTGGAAGTCCAAGCCCCTTGCCCACAAAACCTCCTTTACCCCCTCTTTCCAACCCTTTCGAGGACGACCCCTAGCCCTCCTTCCTTCCCCTATAGATTTATATGCTTTCCATGTCATTCTACTTTGATCCATTCTCTCTAAATGACCAAACCACCTCAACCCCTCTTCTGCCCTCTGACTAATGCTTTTATTAACTCCACACCTTCTCCTAATTTTCACACTCCGAATTTTCTGCATAATATTTACACCACACATTGCCCTTAGACAGGACATCTCCACTGCCTCCAACCGTCTCCTCGCTGCTGCATTTACCACCCAAGCTTCACATCCATATAAGAGTGTTGGTACTACTATACTTTCATACATTCCCTTCTTTGCCTCCATAGATAACGTTTTTTGACTCCACATATACCTCAACGCACCACTCACCTTTTTTCCCTCATCAGTTCTATGATTAACCTCATCCTTCATAAACCCATCCGGTGACACGTCAACTCCCAAGTATCTGAAAACATTCACTTCTTCCATACTCCTCCTCCCCAATTTGATATCCAATTTTTCTTTATCTAAATCATTTGATACCCTCATCACCTTACTCTTTTCTATGTTCACTTTCAACTTTCTACCTTTACACACATTCTCAAACTCATCCACTAACCTTTGCAATTTTTCTATAGAATCTCCCATAAGCATAGTATCATCAGCAAAAAGTAACTGTGTCAGTTCCCATTTTGAATTTGATTCACTAATATTTAATCCCACCCCCTCCCGAACACCCTAGCATTACTTCTTTTACAACCCATCTATAAATATATTAAACAACCATGGTGACATTACACATCCTGTCTAAGACCTACTTTTACCGGGAAGTATTCTCCCTTTCTTCTACACACCCTAACCTGAGCCTCACTATCCTCATAAAAGCTCTTTACAGCATTTAGTAACTTACCACCTATTCCATATACTTGCAACATCTGCCACATTGCTCCTCTATCCACTCTATCATATGCCTTTTCTAAATCCATAAATGCAATAAAAACTTCCCTACCTTTATCTAAATACTGTTTCACATATATGCTTCAATGTAAACACTTGATCTACACATCCCCTACCCACTCTGAAGCCTCCTTGCTCATCCGCAATCCTACATTCTGTCTTACCTCTAATTCTTTCAATTATAACACTACCGTATACTTTTCCTGGTATACTCAGTAAACTTATTCCTCTATAATTTTTACAATCTCTTTTGTCCCCTTTCCCTTTATATAAAGGGACTATACATGCTCTCCGCCAATCCCTAGGTACCTTCCCCTCTTTCATACATTTATTAAACAAAAGTACCAACCACTCCAACACTATATCCCCCCCTGCTTTTAACATTTCTGTCATGATCCCATCAGTTCCAGCTGCTTTACCCCCTTTCGTTCTACGTAATGCCTCACGTACCTCCACCACACTTACATTCTGCTCTTCTTCACTCCTAAAAGATGGTATACCTCCCTGGCCAGTGCATGAAATTACCACCTCCCTTTCTTTCTCAACATTTAAAAGTTCCTCAAAATATTCTCGCCATCTACCTAATACCTCCCTCTCCCCATCTACTAACTCCCCTACTCTGTTTTTTAACTGACAAATCCATACTTTCCCTAGGCTTTCTTAACTTGTTTAACTCACTCCAAAATTTTTTCTTATTTTCATTAAAATTTCTTGACAGTGCCTCTCCCACTCTTTCATCTGCTCTCCTTTTGCACTCTCTCACCACTCTCTTCACCTTTCTTTTACTCTCCATATACATACATGTACAAGCATATATATATATATATATATATATATATATATATAATATATATATATATATTATATATATATATATATATATATATATATAGTATATATATATATATATAAAAAATATACGTATATATATACACACACACACACACACACACCACACACACACACACACACACACACACACACACACACACACACACACACACACACACACACACACACACACCCCTCTGGTTTTCTTCTATTTCTTACTAGTTCTTGTTCTTGTTTATTTCCTCTTGTCTCCATGGGGAAGTGAAATAGAATTCTTCCTCCGTAAGCTATGCATGTTGTAAGAGGCGACTAAAATGCCAGGAACAGAGGCTAGTAAACCCTTCTCCTGTATAAATACTAATTTTGAAGAGAAAAATTTGCTTTCTTTTGGGCCACCTGCCTTGGTGGGATACGGCCGTTTGTTGAAAAAAAATAATAATAATTTGTAGTAGTTTAAACCCCTTTTCCCACTGTCTTCCCCTTGCTCAAAAAACTTGCTCTCAGCAAAAAATTTTTCAGAAAAAAATGATTTTTTATTAGAAATGAAGAGAATGTTTTCCTGATGGTAAGACCCCAAAAGGTGCAAATTTTGATGGAAAAAACTTACAGACAAATTACGCTCTTGCGAAGTTGCAGTCTGCTCGTTTACGCACGCAAATTTTGCCCAAGCCCTATTTTTGGTCAATTCCATTTTTCCAGTCACCCAAATCATAGCTATTTGCTAAAAACTCCTTTTGTTCTATCGATGAGTACAGGAAACCCCCCCTTTTTATTGTTTTTAAAACTACCCAAAAAAGTAATCAAAATTGGTAATTTGGCCAATTTCATACAAAATTCAAAAGGCCAATTTAAAACGGGGCCCAGAATGAACAATGCGACTTCCTGGTCAAAAAAAATTTTTTCTTTTTTCTCGGTCATTTCCCAGCCCCCTTTATATTACATTGCTTTCCATTTTAAATTTTTTTCACACACAAAATAAAAAGATTACTGTTATGCAGATACTGCATTATTGAAAAAAAGGGTAAAAATAATATCAGCGATTTGTAAAAGCATATTAACCCCCCAATTGACGTAATTGGAGTGTACTGATTTTTTTACTCTTGAACTCGGCAAAAATAAAAACATTTCCACTAATTTAAGATCTTTTTAAGGTACAGTGGCCCCTCATTTTTCGTAATTAATCCTTTTCCTGGAACCGTTACTATAAACAAATTTTAGTTTTTACAAATCAATTTTCCCCTAAGAAATAATATAAATACAATTAATCCTTCCTGACCCCAAAAGTTTTAAAAACAAAAAATTTTTAACTTTAAATATACATGTAGTACTAAAAAATACAATGGAAAGATGAATGAAACATTAACAGCATAACACTTACCTTTTATTGGAAAATTCTTTTTGGTAGGGAAAGAGAGGAGGAGGAAGATGGATTTTTTTATTTTGGGAAAGGGGGAAACCCCCTTTCCCATAAACCCTAGGTACCATTTGCTTTTCGGGGGTTTGCTTCTTTTCTCTTTTCTTAATCCCAATGGGACCCCCTTGAGAGTCACTGGGGCCTGTCTCACAAAAAAATGTGGGGGAGCTCTGTTTTGGCATCTTTTAAAACTTCCCCAAAAAGGCCCCAAAACTTTTTCACTGTACATGTTGCCAACCTGGCTTGCAACAACCTTGTTAGGATGATGTTCTCCATAAAGCTTTCCATCTTACCCCACATAGTAAAAAAACTCTTTAATTTCGAAAAAAGGCACCTTCTTCCCCCTCTCTTCCCCCTCCCTTTCAGCAAGATTCTGACTGCGATCTGTTGCTCTTCCCGCTGAAGCCTTGCGCTCGTCAGTGGTGAGCTTTCATTTGGGCTTTTACCCAAATTTTTCCACATCCTCCAAAATCACATCCAACCCCCCCTGGAACTCACCAGTGCCACAATGATTTTTTCAACAGACATGGCTCATTGGGTCAGTCCCAAAAACCCTTTAAAATCCCTTTGCGACACAATCTGGCCACATTTTCTCCCGAGTTCAAAGTTGGTGCACTCCCCCCCAAGCCAACCCCATAAGGGTTATGCAGTGGAGGATGCTGAAGGTTTTCTCCCAAAAAACCCCCTTTGGGTCAAGTGAGTTCTGTGGTCACGTCAAAACCTGTGAAAAATTTTCTTTTGTGTAATTTTTTTAAAGTTTTCAATAACCCGCTGGTCCCGGGTTGGAGGAGAGGAGTGGTATTCGGGGGCAAGAAATTTACTGTGTTTAACCCAAAACCCTCGAAAATTAGGTATCCAAGTTTGGAGGATGAGCAGGTGCATTTTCCATTACAGCAGGCATTGAATCCAAAATTTTTTCCAGGGGATACTCCTTCACATAGGGCAAATACT